GCGCGCTGGGGAGGAGACCCGGGCGGCAGCGATGGCAGCGCAGTCCCACGCAGGCCCCCAGCCAGGGACAGCGGCCCCGAAGGGCCCGGGACACAAGCACAGAGCTGTAAGTGAGGCTCCGCAGGGTTAGAGCAGCAATCACTGGATGCACCAATTAACTAGGGAAAAGGCATCCCTTAACTTAAAAGCCTTTTAATTCGAAGCATTTATTTCAAGTGTACATCTATTACAGTTAAGAAGAAGCAAAGATACACCAAAAACACAAATACCCAAGAACAAAAAAGTACAGATGGGAAAGAAATTAGGTGAGGGGAAGGGAGGGCACAGGGTGGGGGGGACCTGATGAAGAAGAGACTTGCAGCCGCCGGAACGAGGAGCTCCCTGACACAAGGGGTGCCACCGGGGTAACCTCACTGGAGCGGGGCAGGGTCTGCCCAGGGGATTCAGCCCCCAGGGAGGGGCACGAGGAGCCCCAGGCGCCCCTGCAAGGCTCCAGGTTTATGCGCAAGCTCAGCAGCTCTGACCCCCCCGCAAGCGAAGCACGGACTGCAGGTCACAGCAGGACCCCCAAGTGCGAGATGGGGAGGGCGACTTGCAGAGAGCAGGTCTGCCCCCGGGGCTGGGAGCCTTGTTCTGCCCCCAGGCCCCAGCGCAGGGGCCTCAGAGGGGGTTCATTCTGCTGGCAATGATGAGAGAGAAAAGGCTACAGCTCCGGGACATCCTCGCCTCCGGTCCCGCTCCAGAGCCTGGACAGAGCTGAAGTCAAGTCAGCTCAGCAAATAAGTTAAGAAAATTTAAAATAAATTCAGATGCCTGTTTCAAAGAAAACCGGTTCCTTTTAGCTAGAGCTGCAAGATGCGTATTTTTTGACTTAAATGCAGTGGCTCAGGAATTCAGACTGTATTTCATTCCTGGGAATCTGACTGACTTGGAGCAACACAACATCAGTTAGCAGGCAGGGCACGGGTAGGTTTGGCAGTCAGGACGGCCAAACCCCAATTCCCCCTTTCCCAACATACCCTACAAAGTTACTTTCAACCAGGAGTGTTTATTCCCAGCATTTAACACATTCCAATTAAAACAGATCCAGGAAAAAACTGACATCTCCAGTAAATATTGCACTTCAAGATTAATGTGTGTGTTGATGTTAAGGACTGAAAGCAGAGACTGACTTAAGACTTCCAGGCATAGCAGGTTAGCATCAAGAGCAATGGTCCTGAAAAGGATTTCAAAACCGGATTAGTCACCCAAGAAGGGGCAAGCCGCAAGTTAAAAAAATTAGTACATTTTAATGCTAGTGCCCTGTGAAAAAGCCAACCCCTGTTGCGATTCCACCACTGCTGAGACGTGTCTGTTGTTCTCAGCATGGCAAAACACCTTCAGATGGGAAGGATCGGCAGGAAAGACAGCCGGAGCAGAGGTGGTCTCCTAATGCACAGACAGATTCAGTACCAAATGATCCAAAAGTAGATGGTAAAGAGGTGACTGGAGCGAGGGCTCTCAGGAATCAAAAGCACACACGCACACACACGCGCGCATACGCACACACTCACACTCTAACCAACCCTAAACCCCGGGTTCCAAACCCCAACAGAAGAGCTATGCCTGAAGGGAATCCTCATGGTGGCTCTGCACGTGGCTGGCGTGTCGGGTCCCGGTCAGACTGGCTCCTTGGACCTCACATTTGGAGGGCAATCGCTGTGCTTTTTGACTTGCTAATTCTGGTAGCCATGAGCGAGCCACAACTAATTGGCACATACTGGGTATCCTCCTCTGTCAGCAAAGACAGCTCTGGCCAGCCACGAGGGACTGGCAGAGCGGAAAAAATAAAAATAAAGAGGCTGGTTTTTGCAGGTGATTATTTTTATCCCAGAACAGCCGGAAGATACATCCCTGAATGTGTTGCCCAGTGAGCTTTCGAAGTCTCATCCGTTAGAGATCAGAGATGGGGGCCGGGAGGGGGCTGGGGTTTTGACAATGCAGTAACGCTCCACGGTTCCAAGCTGCACACGCACACACACACTACACAGCGTATCCCTGAAAATCCACGGGCTGCGAGGTACCCTCCGAGCGCTGTCCGTCAGAAGCCAGAGCGAAGAATTACTCCTCAGAAAAGTCTCTGTCAATGTCCATATACGCCTCGTCGATGTAGCTAACTATGGCACAGGGGGACGTCCGGTCTGGACTGAGCAGTATAGATACAGTCTCTTTCCAGTAGGTAAAACTAATACAGGAGCTCTGTGGGAAGAGATGGAGAGGCTGGTGAGCGCGTCTGCAGGCACCAGGGAGCACCAGAAGGCACATCCCAGAGGCATCCGGCAGACACAGCCGGACATCGCTTCCTACGCAGCCCGACTGCCCCAGCACTGACTGACCCTGCAGCCCCCCCGCCCGGGGGCAGGCAGCAGCAGGACAGATGCAGAACCCACTACCCCGTCTCCAACCGGCCTCCTGCCATCCAGCTACAGGCAGGGACTCCCAGCACCTACGGCAACCACAGCCCTGCCAAGGGCAGCACAGGGTGACCACCACCCCAGCAAGCCCCCACGGGCCAGCAGGCAGGGCTGCCCGTCAGCAGTACGCACACACAAGCCCAAACCTCTCCTTTCTGTCCAGCCCAAACAAAACAAACCGGGACGCTGCGGTGCTGCAGATCAAGCCAACGCTGGCAGTAGCTCCCGCTCCTAGGGAGGACCCCAAGACAAGGCGCCCTCCCCGCTCGCATCCCTCCTGCATCCCTCTCCAAAGGCCAGAAGGCCTCGCCATCAGCCCTACGCCACATCGTGCCATTACTCAAAGCCTTTACACACCAGACAATTGTTTATTTCTGCCCACCAGCGGCCCACGACACGAGTACCGCAGCGTGCAACGATGCAACCCCGGAGCGCGGCGCTGGCAGAGTGCTTCGGTGCCAGCAGCATCCCCCCTCGGCAGCCCGGCGTACCTCGGATGTGCCACATCAGGACGCCAACACTGTGACACAGCGCCCGGGTGCCGCAGCCCCCCGACCCTGTCACCTGCCGCTGCCCGGGGCTGAGGGGCTCAGCCCAGCCCTGACCCCAGCAGCACCGCGCCAGCTGAGCCGAGCATCTCCCTCCCACAGGGGCTCCCTCCATCACACGCCTCCCTCGTGGGGAACTGAAGCGCCTTATTTTAACTGCTCCCAAGCCCGAATCCTGCTCCTCTTCCACCACCTCGTCTGCAGCAGACAGCCTGTGCTCCCATCCCGGCCGTGGGGCCGCGTGCTGCAGCGGACATGCACACCAGAGAAGGGCTTTTCCATGAACACACTAAAAATCCATTAAATCTGCCACCCGGTCACTGCAAAGTCAAGGGAGAAACCAGTGCAGCCTCCCTTCAGCCTCCCAGGGCACCTACGAGGGAGCCGCCTGCTCATCACAGGCCACCTCTTCACCTTCTCAGCACCCCAGACCAGTGGAAACGTGCAGGCTGCTTTCCCAGGGCAGCTGCCCTGTCTCCCAGCAG